GAAGGCGAGGTGAAAAGCCTCCCTGTTTGCGTGATTGATGTCCCAACTGAAAACGGACGCGCGCGTCGCAACTTTGCCGCCTTTTGAGAGAAGTGTACGCTCAATCGCATCCGCTGTGTCGTGTTTGGACGTCCAACATTTTTTGAAGGGTAACAGGCCTGTGCGAACCTGGCCGGAATTTCCAGGATCCCGGTAATATTGCAGGACTGCAGATGTGACGGGCACTCCGTCGTATTGAGCACGGAGCCAGAACAGACCACGTTCGGTTCGGGCGAGGCGCCTCGAGGTAGCATGGCGAGGAACTGGATGTCGGTCGTCCGAGTCACGGAACCCGTGCACCCCGTTCCGTGCACCCAGGAGCTGACGGGGAACGAGTACGTCCGGGAGACATCCACCACCACCGGCAGGCCGCAAGGACCGATGCCAAGAGTCTGTCGCAAAGCACCCAAACACAGTCTCAAAAACATGGAGTATCTTCTACTTTTTTTCCCGCAAGGCTCTCGGAAGAGCCACTCACAATGCTCAATGTCACAACGCAGACTGTTGTTGTTGTTGTTTTTTTTTTTTGTTTTTTTTTTAAGCATAGAGATATTTTGTTATCGTTATTCGGCGAGCGCTCTACGTAGATTGCAGTGATTGTAATTGCTGAGTGCGAGTAGGATCGCCCGAGTGGTGGTTTATAGTTTAATAGCGCAATCTTCGCGCACCTTCGGCACTATAAAGAAAGCCGGTAAGGCGGGAGTTTTCCTTGCACTGCAAAGGTTATGAATGACGCAGCGCTATTCCATTTTGAACCACTATTCGCACACCCCAAGGCAGCGTTTATTACATGAATTCTACAATTGAGAGTGAACCAATCACATGCCCCCAGCGTCCTCTTCCTCTTCTTCCTCTTCTACCCAATCACAATCGTTATATCTCGATTATACGGTGCACTACGGTCGCATCCATGTATCCGCGGCTATTGTAACTATATGGTGGCTCAAACCTTAAGAGCCACAGGACGTTGAGTGTAGACTCTGTGCCCCGCGCGGATATCCAGCCTTCTATTTAAAGCGCCGGAAGGAGGCGCTGTTGGCGATCGACGTCCCCGCGAACTTTCGATCAAAAGACAGACAGTATAGGCTTGTTCGAATTACCTGCACCCCTTGCACCGGTGCAGAAAAGTGTACGGTGGTGTACTTCCGGTCGTATTTCAATACGCATACCGGAAGTACAATGCCCTACACTTTTCTGTACCGGTGCAGGAAGTTCAGGTAAATCGAACGAGACGAATGCCTACTGTGGCACCACTTTTTGCAATGTTCGTGAAACGTTCTATGCCCAGTTCCTAAGGTGATTAGCTAAAGGACTCGTTAGCGAGAGATCTGCTCGAGGTCCACTTCCGATACATTCTGATCTATATTATAGCTCACCCCAGAGGAACCACCCTAGATCTCCAACTTCGTGATTTATGTAGAACTTTATCATCGCAGAAATTTTTGACATCAGCAAGCTCGGAAAGGTTGCCGACATGGAAGGACCGGAAGTCTTTTTTGGGGGAAAGAGACGGCTTGCGCTCGTAAAGAGTAAAAGCGTCTATGACACTACAGTCGCCGGCAGTTTAAGAAACGCAGGGCGTGGCGAATCCTGACTCTGAGCATCTTACTATCTCGCAGAAGCCAATCAGATTGCGGCATTAGTCGATGAGAAAAAATCACGAAGCAATGATTGTGAACATGGCCGGCGTTTCTTAACCTGGCAGTGACTATGCAGGGAACATGTTTGCTTGTTGCGCAGGAGTTGCGGTGACGTCAGAACGACACCGAGCTCTGATGGGCTTTGTTTGGAAGGATAGTGGGTAGACCTCAATGCCAGATGCCTAGAGGTCTACTCATTATTTTTTCTTTCTCAATGAGCCAATAAGAGCTCGGCGTTCTGACATCATCGCGACCCGTGTGCAAGAAGCAGACGAACTTGCGCTCCGCATAGCAGGAAAAGACGGGCAGTGCGTTTCTTTCGAATGCCGGTCCTCCCACACATCTTCTTTAGCTTCGATTGTGCTCCGGCTGCACTTGCACGCTCGAAGCTCACGAGATGCCCAAGTGTTCTTTAAAGGGACCATGAAATGACCTTTTTACTTTTTCCACATAACTTTTACATTAAACCGTCAATGTTCACTGAATGCCGAACAGGCATCCGTTTTCGTCTCGGTTTATTAACTTCTACACAAAAAATTATTGAAATATCGACTTTTTCATTCTCTCCAACTGACCGCAAAACAAGCCGTGACGTAGGCCGTTCCCGGAACCGGAAGTTCTCTCAGCAGTAGGAGAATGGGAGTGTTAGCGGCAACGAGTTGGGGTGCGCCGGTAGGTTTTACTGCGCTGATGTCACCGACGTATTTCCTGAATCGGCGCCTCTCATCGCCGCATCGCAGCTGAGCGAAATTCAATGAGATATGTTGCGCTACAGCGACAGCATGGGACTAGTCCCATACGCCGGTATGCCTGTTGGGAAGTGCAGCGAGTCTTCCGGTGAAGACTCCAGAAGTCAACCACCCCGTCATTGTTGGCAGAAGGGCCGGCCCGTGTCAGTCGTTTGCAAAGCGACGTAGATGGCGTTTTTCGCGGCCTCGGAGATGCAGGAGCGAGCCGACGTTAAAAAAGATACGTTTGAACTACGAGTGTCGGCAAGAGCCACGTAAATACCTGTTTACACTCGGAGCGGACGCGCGCGCTTGATGGAAGTGCTGTATTCGCGCTGTTTGTAAGCGCTTCGGGAACGTCCTTTTACGATTGCAACTCGATACTGACGCGACACTCGGCAAAGAAAGGTTGGACCGGGGTTGTACGTATACCTCCCACGAACTGTTATAGCTCGACAGTGACGTGCTGTCTGTCAGAATAAAAATGGCATACCAATAACAAAGTGTACATACCGTGTTACGAAGGTAATCCATACGGCGTTTATTTCAGCTCTATATTACACAAAACAAGAAGATAGAATCGACGAGAGTCCCTTTTCGACAAGTGTTCGTCAACACTGCCTCGGAAAACAAGGGGAAGAGATTGACCTCACCTCTTAATCTAGAATTGAGGTCAGCGATCAAACTATAATACGGGAAGGGTCCACAAGGGTCGCGCGGGCATATTCCATTTAGCACGCCAGCCGGTCGTAGGCAGACGGTCTTGCGACGAAGCAACGCAGCGCCGAGTCGGAATGCCTGCTAGGCCTATATTCTGAGCAGCTCGCTTCGTCAGAGTCGGTAGATCCAGCGTTCTTGTTCGTCGTGGTCTGTTTTAAGTACTGTTTTCTTGCTGCTTGAAGTCGGCACGCGCGGGAAGAACACGTAGAAAAATAAACGTTCAGTCAGTCAGAGTTTTGAGAGGAAGGAAAACAAAGAAAATAAACGTTTGTCGGTCGCCGCCACCCTAGTAACTGTCGGCCCTGCCCTACTGCGCACGCGCAGTAGTTGCTTCGTTTACCACACGATAGATGGCGCTTGGCTCTCAGCATTATCAAATTTGGCAATTTTCGCCACACATCTCTAATTATGCTACAAAATGTGGATCTGAATATTATTTAACAAATCTTTTAGGAAACATTCGCCGGCTATTTATTGTTTACGATCGCGGTGCTGGTGAGGTAGGCTCTTACCCAATAGGCGACCTGGATTTGGCTGACGTGCTCCATTTCCGCGGATGCATCGTAGTGAACAGGCGAAGGAAGGAAGGCGCAAAAGAGTCCAGTTTTCTTTTAAAAGTTCTATAGCAAATAATTTTTTTTGGCTCCCTATTTTTGTGTTTTTGTGTTTCTTTTCACACCTTTTACGACGTGCGGTGGATGAAACTCGATTTTAAAATCATTTCATGGTCCCTTTAAGGTATAATGCTCGCGCTGGAGATGGAACACCATAAGGCCCTCCCTACCGTTCTCAGCCTGTTAATGACTATAATTTGTCATAAATTAGCGTCCGGATGACACTGAGCCCACATATATCGAATCAGATTGGCAGCTATGGCCAAACAAAGTTTGATGTTTGACCTATACAGGATTCACACAAATGTATGGCCTGCGGAAGGTGAACGTAAGCGCATCGACGTTCAGCCAATACCGAGCCGACACGGGCCCACTCGACTGTTCCAGGATATGGGGCCGTAGAGCAACGTCGGATACCAAACCGATATTAGACACATCTTTAGCCGACACTGACACGACGTTGCTGCGGTATCGTCGTGCTACCTGGAGATGTGTCTGCATATATACCTTTCAAAATGTCTGTTCTTTTGCAGAGCTCTCTCAGGCTCAATCGCTGATCTACGGAGAGTGATCTGCGACCGCTGGGTCCTAAAATATCCTGTGACCTAAAACTGGTCTGCGATGTGACACTGAGCATGATACAAATGTCGCGCTCAGTGACAGAGCACAGGATTAATTCTGTTTTTCAGTTCAAATTCTACCTGCGACCTAATAATTGGCCGATGTCTCTCTGTGGTTTGCAGAAATTGGTTATCTGCTTGCTCAGCTGGAAAATAGACGCATGGGTATTTTACATATTTATTTATTTATTTGTTTTATTTGTTGATTGATTGAATATTTTATTTTATTTATAAATTTATTTATTTGTTTCATTTGTTGATTGATTGATTAATTTATTTTATTTGTATATTTATTTATTTATTTAAATAAAAACCCTACAGTGCCGAAGCATTCTAGCGTCTACATATTTCTACTATTAACAGAACAAAACGCGTGTGCTGTATGTGAACAGGTAAAAAATCGCTCAAGGTTGCAAATGAACACCAAAAAGTTAAAACAAATACCAAGTTAAAAATCGAAATCACTTCCTGAAAGAAACGATCCTATGTTAATACTTCTAATGGCAGACAGAGTGTATCCCACTCAGTAATTTTGTGAGGAAAGAAATGGATATTTTTAGCATAGTTGGTACGACGGAATACTTCTATGATTGTTCGTCGAATGGTGAACGTGACATTAGGGTACGAAACAGTACTCACACGAATGGTGGGACGGCACACCTTCGCCGGGTCTAGCTCTTCCGGGATGAAAAGCTTGATGGCGGTCACGTAGGGCAACGAACCAGACTTCTCTTTGAGCAGGCCGAACGAAGGAAAGTACACGCCCCCGAACGCGTACGTGTGGCTGAAGACGAACTCGTAGTACCCGGGAAATCCGAGGTCCTGTAGGACAGGTATACGGAATTTAAGTTACTATATAGGCAGCCTATCACAGCGGGTCTCTGCCGCGGCATGTAAAACACAGTAAACGACAACCTATAGTAAACGACAGCTTAAGAAGCGCGGGAAAGGGAGGGGGGGGGGGGAGTATTGTGTTCAATTTTCTTGCCTATCGATCCGTTCTTTTGGGTTTTTATTGGCTAATGCCACCATCTGATTGGCTGCAACAAACGTTATTAGATTAGCTCAGTTACGGAACTGCTCATAGACGCTGCATGCATGAGCAGTACCCCCCTCCCCCCCCCTCCCCCCCCCCCCCCACGCCGGACGGCTGCTATGGTAACTGCAGTGTATTATATTGTCACGATCGACGAGGTTACGAAAAAAAGAATAACCGAGGAAACTAAACGTTTAATGCGGCGAACGTGCGCCCAAAACGAAAAGGAAACAGAAGATAACATCAGAGAGTCGCGGGCGTCGAAGTCGGCGTAACAGCAGGATTGAGCGCTGGGGCGAGACTGACTCCGGCTAGCCATGCGGACCACCTTTTGTACCGGCGTGGGTTTCTGGAATATTAGGCCTAGAACGTTCGGCGCGTAGAACATTCGTAACTAGATGAGACGACAAGCTTCTGGAACTTACGAGAATGTCATGTCGAAAGAATAAATAAAAGAGGAGTCCGCTCCCTGGAATCGAATCCGAAGCCTCCGCGTGATAGCCAAACGCGGTAACCATTCGGCCACGCGCACGCTCAGCAAAACGCGCGGCATAATGGAATACGTACGTTTCGAAGCGCAGCCTCTTGATGGCGCTTCGAACGACGGGAGGCGAACTGAAGTGAGTGAGGGGATTACCCCCTTCCGCGGGAGTTCCACAACTGAGGTAATCTAGCAACGTTGGCTGCAACATTAAAAGTCTCGGGACTCGCCACTCGTTTCGGAAGTGGTCAGTGACCATAGCTCTAGACTCTCTGCGTTCAGAAGAGCACTCAGGCAAGATGAAGGCGTGCCTTCGTGTACAAAATCGGTGCTTGCGACTGTACAAACGCGTCAATGATATTGTAATGCAGCTAGTGCTATTCAATACTCTTAGGGTTCCTCACCGTCCTTCTGTTGAGGGTGATGCCATCTTTTTTAGTACTACAGTGTACTAGAATGCGGGGTAGTGTAGGGATCGGAGGAGCGGCTCGCGAGAGGCGTGTGGTGTAGATCGCGATAGATCTTGACACCGGCGCATCGGCAGCAGGGTCAGCATGATGGTGACTTTGCGCGTGCACCGCGTGCACGCGCACTTGTGGCGGCACGTGCGGACTGCAGCGACTTTCTGTAAAGCCTGGTTCAGACAGTTGCGTTTGACTGCGTTTGACTGCGTTGCGGCAGCGAGAAACCAGGACATCCCTGCTGATTATATCGCGTGCCAAGATGATTCCTTGGATTGGATTCCACGCTTCATACGAAGCACAGATGTGCCGGTGACTAGCTTTCCGCACTCGACGCAACGCAGTCAAACGCACTCAAACGCAAGTGTCTGAACCGGCCTTTACCTTTTCGACTGCAGTGCCGCGATTGCTGTCTACACGCGCAGCCTCACAAGTTCCCATTGTCGAGCCGCGCCAGTACACACACTATCCCGTACCCGATGCCGGCAGCTCGCACTAACAAGGAAAACACAGAGAAATTGTCGAGAACAAAATGTCGCCATAGTACAGTCAGCGCCACGAGCGCGTGCAGGGGCGCGCTCCTTCGCGCGCTTCGGAACAAAACATAAAATTAAGTGTTCCGAACAAAATCCCCAGATGTCATCACCCTAGGGTGCCTTCATGTGCGCTTTGCTTAGGGTGGTGGCATCTCGCCATTTTGTCTCACACGTTTATTTTTATTTTTTGTTCAGAAGCGCGTGAAAGAGCGTGGCCCTGCACGCGTTTGTAGCGTTGACTGTATTATGGCGATATTTTGTTTTCGTTGATTTCTTTGTATTTTCCCCGTGAGCGCGTGCTGTCGGCATCGGGTACTACAAAGGGTGGCATCACCCTAAACGGAAGGACATTGAGGCACCCTACATCACCCTAACCAAAGCGCACATGAAGGTACCCTGTATACTCCATTTCACAAACATCTGAAGTGCAGACAAAGAGACGGGCACGAGCGCGCGGCTTTGGCTTTGGAATGTAGTTCTTATGAGCGAGTTCTCGTACAAACAAAAGAATCACGCGCCATCACGCGATGGGCCCTCCGCTGCGAACTACGCATACGCAAGTCTTCTGCGTTAGCGCATGGAGCGCATGCGCAGTGCGTGCCGGAGGGCCCATCGTACCGTATCGGATCTGCAAAAAAACGGTTCCCTAAATCTCCCTGTTAGAAATGCCGATAAAAGGAGTGACGACCGCTTTAGAAATTTGCAGAGTGGGGACGACAGGTAGTGCCTTCCGAACGTCGAGCCTCCAGCACGAGTTAGATGCCTTCCGCCGCGTTTTGGCTACACGCGTAAGCTCGAAGTGCAACACAGACGGCGTAGCATCGTCGAAGATTGGAAGCTGGCGCTGGACGATGGACAACTGAAGCACTTCTCCGCCGTCATCAGCTTATCAATAGCGAGTTTTAGTAGACCGTGTTTCCTACTCCACTAAGCCCCTCCAATACCCGGAGCTCTACAGCCAAGGCCATCGGCGCGCAGGCGCAGTGGCGGTTTCTTCGTAAGGGAGGGCTAGCGGAGGGGGAAACACGGTCTACTAAAACTCCCTAATGACTCTTTTACGTGAAACTGGGGGAGAGGGGGAGATGAGAACGCGCGGGCCGTGACTTTAGAACGCCGAGCTCGAGTTCGAATGATTAGACAGCTAGACGTAAATCTCGCTTCTTTTTTCTCTACTTGCACTTTGAACCCGTTCGATTGCCAAATGCCGGCGTCCAGCGTTCTGTGTTCGCGTTCGAACGGGTTTGAAGAGTGAGTCGAGATAAAGGCAGCTAATTTTGCGTCTTCCCACGGATCCTTCCAATCAGAGCCCGGCGTTTCTGACGTCACCTCTCGGCTCCCTCCTGTCCCTCAGGTTTCCTACACACTTTCTTGGCGGCAGATATGTCTCAGAAATCAGTCATCGGCCTGTCACTACCAAAGTTCTGTAATACAGCAACAGTTTTTGTTATTACATCTTATTACTATTTTAATGGATCCTAGTATTAAAATGGTACGGAAACGAACTGTTTGCACTTATATTTTTGTTTAGATGTATTTTTATGTCGTGCAGGCAGCCCAGAAACAGTAATCTATAGACTAGTGTTTCTATGTTCCGGGCAGAAGAGACAAGAAAACTAATTTTTGAAACTGAACTGAAAGCCGTGACCCCCAAACCCGAACCGAACCGATACGAATTTTGGTTTGACACTCTGATTCTGACCCTCTCCCGTTTCTGCATGTGTCAGTAACCCCCGCCTTGTTTTTTTTTTTTTGTTTGTTTTTTGTTTTGTTTTTTTCTACATTTTTGTTTGTTGTTGTCTTGTGAAGTGGCTACCGCGCGTGTTCTCGGCTCTGGCTGAGAGATCACCCCAGAAGTAGCTTCGCGGTACCATATCTGTAACCGTTCAAAGCTGTTCCGCGCCTTTTTCCGGTGGCCGGGCCCTCAATGGCTCCGCCCTGGAATCGACAGGCTATCTAGAATACAGGAGGCGGACGGCAGCGCCACGCATGCGTGGAACGTTTATTGAGGTCGGTCCAATTATTATTTTAATGCTGAATTCTGACTCGCACGGTACGGATAGAATGTAATAAACGTTACAGGAAGATAAAGCATTAGTAACATCCACCTCCCTTAACGAAGAAGAGGAGAAGGTAAAAGTATCTTATGATTTGTTCAGCTCCCGAACGCAGTAACACAAAGGTGTCACTAGAATAAAAGGAAGGATAACGGGATCATGGCTCTGCAGACAGAAACAACAGCGGCTTATTGACTTTAATTTAAGCTTGAGCAATAAGAAGGAAAGAGGATGTCTCTTTCATTCGCGCACCTACCTAGCTATTCTATCAATATAGTTCATCAGTTAAAAAAAAACAAAAAAAAAACACGAATCTAGTTGTGCATTTTTTAGACGGAGCGAATTAAGCGCTAGGAAATGCTAGAGAATAATCCTCTAAGCTTGCATCGCGCACATCGAGTCCGACTGGGCTTTGCTCGGATGTACCACAAACAAAACTTTTTAAGAATATTTTGGTACGAATTGTTCGTAAGTTGGTGCAGCAACGCGGACGCCTCTTTAGTCTCGCTCCAGATTTTTTTTTTATTGTCTAGGAATTGTTTTATAATTAACTGCCCCTAATATTTCTACAAAGCAAAGGAGAAAAAAAGCACGCTACTTTGAGTCGCGAACGTTTTTCACGGTTCGGACCAGTCCGCAATCACTTCCCCGCCTTAACGATTAAAGCCCAAATCCCTGGGAACTCTTTTAACGTATTTTCTTTAATCGTGCCTTTCAGCAATATCCTGACACACACGAACGCGTTGCGCTGGTTAGTTTGAAGAATGCCTGTCATAAAGAGCTGGTGCTACAAATGGAGTGCGGCACCGGCCAGTAACCGGATTTCCCTTAGCACGAGCAAATAACAACAGCCGCCAGCGTGATATAAGCTATATTTTATTAAAACTATGTTTCAGTGGTCACTTCTAAGTAGACAAAACGAAAAAATAAGCAAAAAAAACACAAAGAAAACGAATGTTTTGAAATGATGAACGACGATTCAGATTGAACGCTCCTATTCAGAAAAGGCGTCCTACACCGTAAACTTCGAAACACCTACTTAGGTGTAATCTGGAACTTATCCAATGTCTATAACTCACACCTTATTATAGGTGTTGTTACACCTTTTGATAGGCGTTACTACACCCATAGAGGGAACATTGCTCCCATTTTTTAAAGAAACCCTACATTTCTTTGTTCTGTCAACTTTTTTAGAAAGCAGAAACACAGAGTCTTGGAGAGCACTTGAGTTACACATAACACGTAATGTTTTTC